ACACACACACACACACACACACACACACACACACACACACACACACACACACACACACACACCTCTGATGAGTACTTGATTCCATTTCTTCTCTTCCTTTTACAGTTACAGTGTCCAAAGCACTTATGTTGGGTTCATTTCCATTTGTAGGTTTTAAACAGCATGAATGACTGAATCATCAAAAGAAACCATCTAATGTGACGGACAAGGGTACATACTGGTTGAGTAAGACAATACAAACAACACAAAAACATTCAGGAACAGTAGGAGTATCAAACTTCCTTTCCCATCCCTTCAGCCTTCCATTTTTCACAGCTCCCCCTTGTGGTTATTAGCCAGCTACACAGGCTTTTTCCCCTCTGCCCCAGTTTTGTTTTAGTTCTTCAACAGCAGAAATGGATTAAAAACAAAATTATAAAGACTCAGACAAAAAGAATCCACCCACTGCTGTTCATCATGTCCTGCCTTGATTTACAGCCACTTAAAGTCTGGTTTAGAATAGCAAGGACCCAGATCGTTTTCTCTTTAACTGGTATATTGGAGATCACAAAGCGTTTACTGAAAGTTGTGCCATGCTATAATGGACTAAAAAAAGGACCCAAAAGAAAGCACTGTGTTGTTCTGAATACACCGAGCGCACAAAATATCCATCGTGGTGAGCTGAAAAACCCCTTTGTGTGGCACTGATAAGGGCCTTGACTGTTTGGGAAGATGCAAAAACAAAAAGACAACCAGGCAGCTAAGAGAGATCACACACCAGAATAATGAAGAAAGAGGGGGGGGGCTTCATTTCACAAAACAATTTGCAGATTGAAAAGCGTTTAATAGAGGTGAATTGTCAAAGAGTGCACATAAGGCCAGAAGGAAGAGCAGCTTCTTGGTAAATAAGCCGCTGCTCTTCCACAGGAAGCCACGGGTACATGAGGTGTTTGAGGGGCAGAGAAGCAGATGGAGCAGGGTGCCATTTCTGCTGCTGCCTCTGTGCAGCACTGTGCTTAGGTTTCTCAGTAGTACATCACCCATACAACATCTGTTAGGACAGATTTAACCCCTTTTTTCCCCAACATCCAAAAAAAAAAAAAAGGAAAAAAAAAAGGAACCTCATCATGTGGCCCAATGACTCAAAGTATCATCGTAAAAGAAAAGACGACATCATGAATGAAGCATGACAAATAGTAAATCATCAGCATGTCAATTGCATCCTTCTTAAGATTCTTTTTGTACATATATGCATACAATTATACTTTCTAGCTAATCTTTCTTTTTAAGTCTTCATGTGGGTTTTATTTAATCTGATCAGCGTTCGTTTTACAACTATATACAATGTACAGGCAGCAGATCAAATACCTTTTACAATGAATGAGTGATGATACAGGGAAGTCTTAATAGACTAATGTTGACTAGATCTATTTAGACAATATACATTGTGAATAATTGGAATTTTCTTTTAGAAAATGGCATCTAAAAAAAAAAAGGATGAAAGATAGTACAAGAGACAAAAATTGTAAAAGCCCTCAATATGTACAGAAAAAAAGCCAATATAGCATTTGTCAACAACAGAAAAGAAGAAAAAAAGTTAAACTGAAATTATTTTCTCCATATACACATATCATAGCTCAAAAATATTTCCAAAGCTAATAGTCTCTCTGATTTGGTCACAGAAGTTAGAAGACAGTGAAGCATAGTGAAAATAATTACACAGCCTGATGAAGATATCAGCACAGCATCGTCACAGGGCTGCTAAGGTTAAGTAATGAGATGCACAAACTACTGTTAGTTTCTCTCATGCAGATGCTCCCCCTGGATTCTAACTCGTGACTAAGCAAGATGTCAATCTACTGCCACTGAAGGTTAACAGAAAGAAAGAGCATTGTGAGGTATTAAGGTTACCGTCCCCAACAGCATGGTCAGAATTCTGATTTGGAGAGGACGAGAGCAAAGAAATCATACTCCAATCATCAAACAAACAGTCACCAAAGAAGAACCTGTCCCAGTATGTGATTCAAAGTCACATTTTAATTTTTGTTGACTTAAAAGGGGGCGTTGTAGTGATATTTGTACATTAATAGTTTGCAAAAAACACCTGAAACCTCGATGCCAGCTTAAGAAAAGTTTACATCTATTAGCTGCCATTATCTTTGTTTTTGTTTGTTTAGTCATCATCATCCATCAGGTATTT